CATAATTATCTTTCTTAATGTCCTTCTTTCATCTTCTACTTGATTATAGTTGAGGGAGTATCTGTGGGAGTAATTTAGAAAAAAATTAATAAAAATGAGAAATAGATCTTATATTTAGGACCAAAATCAACTCAACAATTATGTCCTATATTAAGGACCGGAGGAGTAATATTTAAAATTTTGAAAAACTAAACAAGTTTACATTTGAGAATTTTAATATTTAAAATTTTCATTGCAACCATTTTTATTAGTAATACTAATACTAATGGTGTTTGATTTCAGAAGATTGAAAAACCACTTTATAGAATTAACATATCAAAATCAATCCTGATATGTGAGGATCACATTGCATTTTTACCCATTTAAAATCAAATTATTAAATTATATTTAAAATAGGTTAATTATGGCCCAAAGTTTTAGAAGCTAAAGGCCCGTCAACGACGATAATCTTGGGCTTCTGGCCCAACTTTGTCTAGTCATGTTCCTGATTTCTTTGGAACCTTCATAAGTCGGGAGATTGAGACCTCATTCGGTCAAGCCTCAAATTTTCAAAATTTGAAAAGCTGAGTGCGAGCGAGATACAGAGCGATGGCGTCAGCGTCGGGAAGCATGAAAGGTTTTTACAGACAGAGGAAAGCCCACAAATCATCCTCCAAATCTTCCAAGAAATCAGTCTCTCTTGCTCCCGATGTAGCGCAAGCTCCGTCCCCCAAAGGTCTCTCTTCCATCTTTCTTCATATGTTCGTCGATTCACTCGTGCTTCTTTTGGTTTTATTGATGGGCTGTCGTTCGTTATGATGGCGGCATGTTCTCCTTTTCTAGGGTTTTATTTTGGCTTTTCATCTGTGTTTGCTTTGCTGATCCTTTTCATCGATATAATCGCACATGATTTTTTTTTTCCTCGCGTATTTTCCTTTTGATAAAATGTTTGACTATGAAAATGGCCTTCAAAGGTATCGATTATAATTCGGAATGGTTATAGTTCTAGTCTCTAAATTGTAGGCTGTTTTTGTTATGGGTTTACGAGTATGTTTAAGAACTAGATATCTTTAAACTATATTGGAATGTGTTAGAGATTGAAGCAATAAAGAAGTCACACAACTCTTAATAGAATGTGTAAAGAAATACTAGGGAAAAAATTGCATGGAGTTCGAGAAAAGTCATATTATTGTGAATGATACTAGTACGACCCCATGTAATGTTGACATATTGATGGTAGGCATGACTTTCTTTGGGACTGATCAAGTCTCCTACGAATTATTATTATTTTTTTTATAAACAAAACAGAAAGAATTCATAGTGTAGCCACATTTCCATCACTTGAAGTTTGATATTTTGTATCTAACTGAGCAGCCCTTTGCTAGTCTCCTAAAATATGTTGAATAAGTACAGCAAAACCTACCTTTGGCCAGTGGTTTAGCTATATTTGTAAAGAGTAGTACTATGCAGTGCTCTCTACCTCTCAGAACTCAAGAGGTTGAGTTTTCTTTTCACTAGAGATCATGCTTTCAGACTCAAGCTATCCTCCCTGAAAAATTCCTGATAGGTAGAACTCTCAATAGCATCACCTATTTGAAATACACAAATGAAAGAAACGGGCAGGATAGGGATGTTTCTGATGATGTTAATGTTTTCCAATAGTCCTCTTTGAAGGGTGTGGTGGAAATCATAATGTTCAGTAATCTAGTTAGATTATTATAGAAAAGGGAAAGGTACTGTATCTGTATCGTGATATGTGGTACCTAGATTCTCTGTTGCTCCTTTTGTTTTACTGATTTCAGTTTATTCTTGATCAAATGAATTGGTTTTGCATGACAAGAAGATTGATTTTCGTGATGACACGTAGAATGGCTGTTTGTATCTGATATATAGTCCAATACACCTCTTACTTTGTTAATAGATGATGTCAATGAGCATGAAGAAATGCTGCGTCAATTTGACATGAACATGGCGTATGGACCATGCATTGGGATCACCAGACTAGCTCGGTGGGAACGAGCCCATAAGTTAGGTTTAAACCCTCCTGCAGAAATCGAGAAGCTTTTAAAAGGCGAGAAAGTTCAGGCAGATTGCTTGTGGGATGGCCGCATATAGAAGTTTGTACGGAATCCTCTTATGTTTAGACTTTAGTAGATAGTAGGAGAATAGGAGCAAATTGAAAACATTCAGTTTTCTATCGTGTTCCTTACTGCTTGTATGTTATGTCATGTCCCTGTTATTATCAAAAGACAAAATCATGTATTGACTTGTGGTTGACAGTTGGTTTCAGCAATATATGCTTAGTAATTATAGCCTATTGTAGTGGTTACAATCAAAGCAATTCAGATTAAAGATTTTTCCCTGCCCTGACAGTGAATCGAATGAAATACAAAATAAAATCCATGCCATCTACGTTTGATCCTGATGGTCTCAAAGATGAGTATATCCACGTGATGAGCAAAGGAACCAGAACTTTAGTTATGGAATTTAAAAAGGAGGGTGAAAGAAAAGGGAAAGGATATAATGTAGATACTTGACACGATCCTTGATGATCTCATCATTTCAAACTATGCTTTGTTTACTTTGCGCATGGTAGGTGTATATCGATGAGTTTGTCCAGATTAAACATTGCACATTATCAACTGGTGTTTGAGCGGGAAAGACTAAACTCTTCTTAAGTGAGGTTCAAAGTTCAAACCTTATGGATATAAATAATTATGTTGGGAGAGCCATCCTTTCGGTTAAATTTAATTTGATATTTGGTTCAAATAAATGTATTTATAGAAGGAAGAAAAATTGAGTGCGCGTCGTTTATCATAGAATATAAATAATTATTTATCTAAATGGTTTTTTAATCTGACTTAAAGTTGAATTTTACCAGCAAAATTGGAATGTAGTTAGGGAGGATATTTTCAAACTGTTCATGGAAATATGGAAACAACCCGAGAGGATTGGGGAAAATAGTACACTGTTGGTTGTTGTACCAAAAATTGATCATCCTGAAATAATGGTGACTTTAGACTCATAGCATTGGGTAATGTGCTGTATAAGGGGGTTACAAAGTTAACAGTGAATAGGTTGAAGCCCTTAATGGACGAACTAGTTTCTCCTCATCAAATTGGTTTTATTCCGAAGAGTTTTTTCATATTTTGAATAGAATGAAGGGAAGAAGAGGCTACATGGCAATGAAGATTGATTTGGAAAACAGCACATGATAGGATGTCTTGGGAGCTTTGTGGGGAAAATGCTCGAGGAAACTGGTGTTGAGGGTCATTTAGATACGTTTTACAAATGAGCAAGTTTATAAAAGTAGAGTTATTTAGATTATAATTAAAAAGACAAATTTGATTGTAAGACGACTAAAAATGACATGAATTTTATTAAACATATATATGTATTAGATGTGAATAATATCATACATATAAAAAAAACAAAAAATAATAATAGAAACTGACTGAAATGAGTGGTACTAATCCCCGCATAGTCACTTCCATAACAAAGAACTGACCTCAATAAGCACAAAAACAATCAGACAACTCCTAGGTCCCTCATTCTCTCTCATTCACGTTATTAAGCGCGGTTAAAAAGCAAGAGCAGGACTCGAAGGCTCTGTTTGCGAGAGCGTTTGAGCACTGGTTAACTAGTTTTTGAAGGCATAAGCACGATTAGCCTCTTAACGGGATGTTTGGTTTAGCTTTTGTCCAATCTCACTTATGGCCAAAAGTTACGATTCTTAAGCCCGATTGAAGAAGTAAGACTCTCCTGCCTATAGCTTATGAGATCATGCTTTTAAGGCAACTTTGGGAGCGTTGATCATCATCTTCATCATGCTGACAGAGGGAGAGTACGCCGACTGGACCTTCTTCCTGTGTTGGTGGCCGACTAGACTGGTTGGGCACTCCTTATCTTTTGATTTTTCACGGCAAGCATGACACAAGGGAGGAGCTAAAGGCCAACTAAATATGGAGCTGAGGGAACAAAGATCTAAGAACCAGTAAACATAAGTTTAGAGAGATGAAGAAGTCGATGACCGCTGTACTAACGGTGTTTAGTCTTTGAGCTGGAAGAAGAGAGGATTTCTGCAAATGTTTGGAGGTAGTGAAAGCCAACGTTTGTTGGGTATTAAAGCTTTAATCAAAAGGGGCACCATTTTTTCCATTCAAAAAAAAAAAAAGAAGGGGCACCATTTTACTCCATTTTCTTCTTCCAGTCGTGCAGCTAAATGAGAGAGAACAACGTGTAGCGTAATTGTTTTCAGCCAAAGAAACTTTTCGATGGTTATTGAACGTTGAACATTATTATACTATGTCACTTGATAATTCTTCTTATTTTTCATTATTGAATAAAAGTCATACCATAATTTTACAAATTAAACTTATTTCTTCAATCATAATCTAAACAATTTTTACTTTTACTCCATCTAACTTTCTTAAAAACTAATTCAAACATAAATCACATTAACCAGTTGATTCTTACCCAGTCTAACTTTTCCGAAACCCAAATTAAAAATAAACTATTTTTTCACCCGCTAATCCAAACTTAACAGGCACGAAGTGACACAATTTAAGCAGCTTTTAAGCCAAAAGCTGCTTCAAACAAAAGAGAAACTACTCAAACGTGCTTATTACTAATAAGCTGTTTATAAGCGGATTTGAACGTCAATCCAGACAGAGCCATATTCCGAAAGTAGTTTAGCATGGAAAGTCTAATAAGTTTACAAAACAGTGGAATAGCAGAAGGACTTGTCACAAAAGTTTGATGCAATGTATCCCTCCAGTCCTAAATATAAAACTTGTATTTAAAAGTCTTATATTTAGGACCGGAAGAGTAACAGCTTGTACATTCTTAGCACCATAATTTACTTTTGCAAAAGCAACTTTCAAAAAGAAAAAAGGCAGCTTTTTCTAACCCATCTCAAATACATATGCGAGACGAGAATTTCCCGGGCGCAACCTTGCTTTAACTTTTTTGGATAAAAAAAGATATTTCCGTACAAAAGAGTAAACTACCCAAGCTGCAAGTTTCAGCTGAATTCCGAACTGATCATTTGAGTTGCTTTCTACAATGGTACATTGACAATGTTTGATGAGCAATAAATATACATTAAAGCACCATCTCTTCGGGATCTACTAGAATTCTATAAATGTGTACAAAACCTTAGCAAAACCTATCGATATATGGGAATCCTGCATCAGATCATGAGAAAGACCCTCAATATATGTACACTATAAACAACATCAGCAAATGATAAATATCTATCTGGCTGTCAGTCCTTAGCGTTGGTCCTTTGCTCCTCTCTAATTCATTCCTATCAGGCTCGCATCAGCTCTACGGACTGCCTCTGCAATATCAAATCTCACCCAAATGAAGCCACATGTGATCTTATCACATGCATGGTTTTAAACAAGATTATAACCCCCAACCCTGATGACCAACTTGAATGGAAAAGACACTTGAAAAATTAATCTATCCAAGCTTAAGAAAAATATCTCATTCTACATCCTTTAGCTTGGGGAAGAATCTTCTTTTTCTTTTTCTTTTTTTTTTTTTGGGGGGGGGGGGGGAGACAAATTATCACCAAATAAAAAACTAGACATGTTTCCCATGTCTCACAAAACCTGAGCCATGGTTCATGACTTTTAAACGATGAGATTTGCCATAAATTGTATATTAAACTATATGCAAGTCCTGTACGTTGCATGGAAAAGAAATAAGACACATTGCTCAGAACACATGAAGATTTTGTCATCATACTGATAATGATTGATGAATAGATAATAAACGACTTACCAATTTTGGGGTGTTTCTCCCATTAAGTGTCTTCATTGCAGCATCTGCAAAAGCTTGAGCTGCCTCTGCATCAGCTTCAGCAGCCTCTGCCTCTTTTGCTGCTTCTTCAGCTTCTGCTATGGCAGCTTCTGCTTCTGCAACTGCTCGAGCAGCAACTGCAGCTGCCTCTTGCGCTGTCATTGACCTTATCTTTGCTAGTTCTGAATCTATCTGAGACTTTGTGATGACATTGGCCTCATCCTTGTCTATCTTCATAGAGATTCTCTGCCTGGCGTCTGATAATAACATGGATGAGTTTCTTCTTCGGTCTGGGTATGATGGCATAGGGGCAATCCTATATTTTCGCTTCACCTGCAAAACCAAACGCTACCAAGAGTAAGATCTCTAATTGAATTTATACAAAAAGATCCCCAATTGAATTAACTATTTTCCCTGTTGACAAATAAATACAGAATCCACAATGCATGTAAAGGTCACATGGTTATAAACAAAACTAGGAGTTAATTTTAGATAGCTAGGTTGGTTATAAGAGTCCCTTGCTAAAAAGCCACTGGTATTTTTCTCTCACCATTCTAGCTTGTCATTCTTTCTCTCTCCAATCCATGAGTGTGAAGCTCTTCTGGTGTCCATCACCTGATCCTCAGAAGATTCCGTGCTAGATTTGAAACTCTTTTAATGAAGATAAAATCTACAAAAAGCGTGCACCAGAGACTCAATTCCTGCATCAGTTTCTAAGCTTATTCATTGTTATCAAATGTAGATGCACTTGACATTACTAACATTATATGTCTGTCCTCTCAACTCATCTATGGATCTCAGCCAGCTGAAAAGTTTTAAGTTGCTTTCATGGACGTTCATAACTCAGCAAACACATTGCCCATATTTTGATCTCTGATGTAATCTTTGGCCCTTTCCGGTTTGATTTAGGGCCAAAGGTCTGGATTCCATCAGTTTACAAGCATTCACCTAAGCTATAAAACATCAAAAGCTGCCAGTTAATTAGGGAACCACCTTTCTTCTTTCCAATTCCTTTTGTATCAAGGAGCCAAGGATGGTCTTCGAGGATTGGGTATAAACTACTTCTACTATCCAAGAATCCAGCCAACCTGTCCATTAACAGTCCTTGGTGATTTTTGGGCCAGCTATATGATCACCATGATAATGAACAATGATACATAAATTCTGCGCTTCCTGCACTTCTGGAATTCAAAATGAAATCCTTCCTGTGAAAAGCTGAAGCCAAGAAACTAAGCCTCCGGCACTGCCATGTCAATATATGGTCCATGTTCACATCTTAAAACTGAGCCAAGGAGGTCCTTCACTATGAAGTCCAAAGAGGAGGGGGTGCTGTAAATGTACAGCCATCAGCTCATATCCAGCACCTAAATTATGCAGAATTCTTTTCAAGTGCTTCCCTTCTGACCAGCACAAGAAGCAGTCTGTCACTACAGGGATCCCTAAATTGGCCTGACCTTCAAAGCTTCCCTGATCCAGTAGAGTGGGATCCGAAGGAGCCTCTGCAATTGAGTCTTAAGACCTGCCTTATGTTACTCCTGTCCAATTCTTCTTGCCCTTGCTCTTCTCGCCTGAGGTAAGGAATCTCCTTTGCATGTGTTAATGGGTGGATCAGAAAAAAGGATAAACAATCAATCATAGAATTCCATGCGACCTAAAAAGTTAATTGACATGCTACAGATCAACACTGGCTGAAGCTGGCTCAAAATCAGGGTCCCATTCCCCCAGGATAAGATTGTGTCAAAAAATAATCCCAAAGCCTTGAATCAAGGCCAAGCTGTCCCCTCATAATTCTACACATAAACCCAATTTAGATTTAATAAGACACCCTTTCCCTGTCCCAAGCACAGTGGAGAAATATACCATATTGCTAAAATGAACCCAAAAATAGTTATCCTAGGTCAATTCTAATAATTCCCTTCCAAGCCCACATCTACAGGAACTTCTGCCACATCATTTATCCCACCCCCCCTTTCCAAGACTAAAATAACAAGAGTTTCTCCAAAGATTTGTCAAACAAAACTTGATCCATTGAAGAGATAGAAATCATCACTCACATTGTTCTCTATATGATTTCCTCCTAATCCTCTTAGGGTTCTAGACCAAATCACCGTACTTCAAATAAGAGCCAGAACCAATTTCTCAAAACCCAGTAGAGTATCTTTCTATTAGGAGTTCAACAATACTTAACACTTCATAGCTCTTGCTTCTTCCAAAACCAAAGTATTCTTAAAGGTCACTGGAACTGTCACCAAGCTTTCAGGATGTCATACCAGCATGTTAGTCGTTTTAAGGAAAAGAAGCTATTCTTCTCAGCAAGATGCAGGCATAGCACTAAGAGTTTTCCATTATCAATATATTTAAGGCGTATTATAGCAGTTAGCACAAATGTAAAATTCTTGATAAAAAAAGATAGTGCATTACTTCTACGTTATAAACTATCACAACTGGTAAAATGACTTCATTGAAGGGAAAATGAAATTGCAAAACCTGTGCATTTGGTTAAAGCTCGTTTAGGGAAAAAAAACATGCTTGAAAGTAGAAGTTAGCAAAGAGGTCAAGGTTAGAATGGAATTTTGACTTTACTTTCATAGACACAATAACGGGCGTTTTACAGATGCAAAAATTAGATGCCAACAGGAGGGAAAATCCCATTTCTGTAGAATAATAGATGAAATTGCACAGATTAAATTCATGTGATGCAAACTTAGAGAACATTGGTAATGACCATCATAAAAATTGCATATCTGAAATATACCTTGATCAGTTTTCCACTTGCAGTCAATGATTTCAATTTGGTCGACAACAACCTTCTGAAATCAGGAGGTGCCCCATATTGGTCCTACAGTTTATTTTGCAATGAAATTCAACTGAGTTGGAAACACTACAAAAAACATGTCTTAAAATATAAGCCATAGCATCATTCTGCCAAAACGGATACTAAAAACTTGATTTTCACAACCAACATAGTAGTATCATTCCATAAACACCAAAAAGAAATCCACATAGGGTGTGGAAGTAGCATCATATTCAGGGGCATTGTTATCATTACTATCATGTAAGGAATGAAAAAGTCGCCAATAGCCAAAGGCTTCTGAACAAATGGATCATAAGAAAAAATGACAAAACCCTCCATGGCATAGAATGATCTCAAAGGCATGGAATCTTAACTTATTCCATATTTAAATGTAATACACATGATTCAAAGGGATCTCATTTTCTTGAAGCGTCCTTCACTGATCATACTGAACAAGATAGCTTCCAAGCAGATATTCATATTTTGAAAAAAATTATTAATAAATATCAATCAGAAATAGATATTTATTATCAATACTATCAGGTAACTTTAGTAGAGAATTCATCAGATCCTTTCAGAGGATTTTGACATAGCCATGGCAAAGAAGTGGAGTTACAGTCCTATCAGCAGATATAAATAAACTTTTAGCATTCAATGAAGACATTTGTGTCCCTTGACAATATAAAGCAACCAAGAAGTAGAGGAAGATCTATGAAAGAATTTCAATTTTCAGATATTCTTTGTTTTATTTGTAAATAATGGAAGAAGTCGAGATCAAACTAAAAACAGGAGCTGGAGGTATCTTTAATCATTACTATTATTTAAAAGCAGGACCTTGCTTTTAAAGTAGAGGAAGCTAATGCGGTAAAAAGATAGTCAATTATAAGTATTTCCAATTATTCTATTTTATAATTTTCATACTTAAGATTTTGTATATTTTATAAACTTGCTATAGAAAATTTCAAAGTTGATAAGGTAAAATTACAGTCCTATCAGGAAAAATTCAAAGATTGTTAACAATGCATCCCAGTTTACTTTGCCTATACGATGGACAGCCATGTGAAAAACAAAATATAGCTTATAAGTTCAGATATCTGTACCAGAAATGCCTCTATAAGCGTCATCAAAAATTACAAATTTAAATAATCAAAATATATTTGCAGTAACCATTTCATCTCTTCAACCTCTTCACAAACTTTCTTTACTGTCAAAAGGTAGCAGTTGTTAAAACTATGTACAAATTTAGAAAGATGAAAGTTGAGGGGGGCGAAAATGAAAATACACAAGGTCTTCCCACAAACACTAGCATGTGCCAGCTTAATCGCTTTATGATAATTCCAGATTCCTATTGGTTCTTACCAAAATTATACCTGGCCCCTTTATTTCTATTGTTTTACAGTCCCATCCAGCATCCATAAATTTGAATGATACACCACAAGACATACTATGCGTCATCACCAGGTACTCAAACTTAACCTAATAAGCAATGTTCACTAAAACTACAACTGATATCAGTTGAACATAACCATTCATATTACACAAAGATAACAAAAAATCGGAGCTCAACTAAGAATATGAAAGAATAAATATTGAAAGGAGAATAGTATAGTGTCTTTCAATTGATATATAATAAATTAAGAAGCGAGCTTCTTTACAATTCAAACCACAAGGTTAAGAGAGCTTCTCATCCTCGTCAACAAAGAAATTTTATAATCAGTTGTCCTGGGTTTGTAAAAAATGACCCTACTATGATCAAGGAAGTCAGAAAACCAGAACATCTGCCAAAGAATCAAACGACTTGAGAAGACAGAACAGAATTTAGACTTCAAAAATGAACTATACCTCTATGTAAGCTGCAATATTTGTCTTGTTGGAACCACCAGGCTCCCTCAAGCTAGCTATTGCTTCCATTATAAGGTTATCCAATCTATGTAACGAACAATAATATATATAATAAAAGTGAGTGCATGTGTATCTATTTATTTAAGATTGATAAAGGCCAATTTTCATTGAATATAAAATCTTCTAATAATATTAACTTTTTGATCAAAAAGATATTTATAAAGCTGATCCACAACTATTAATAACACAAATATAGAGAAACTTAAAGTAGTAGATACTGGATTGACAGGGCCTCATTTCAACTCTCTCAATCACCATGTTTCCCTATCTTTAAAACGCTGCATTATTAAGTGGAAATCATGGCATGCAAACATTAAAGAAACAACTATTAATGTTCAGAGAAACTGCTTAACTGGAATAAAATCGAACAGCATTCTTAAAAATGAATTGCTTCCTTTAGCAACAACTCAGGTTGATAGAAGTAATTAAATGAAGCAGTCCCTTTTTTTTCCCCCTTGAAAAATAACAAACCTTGCAATAGAACTCCTTTTTTTTCAATGATTAGTGAAGAAATACTATAAATTTTTATTTTTGTTCTAGTAGTTAAACCAATTCCCAAAAGTATATTAATTAACTGCATTATTAAGTGAAATTTATTGCATGAAACATTCGATAAACAACTGTTCATGCTCAGTAAAACTCCTTCACTGGAAGAAAATCCATCAGAACATACTCAAATTTATGCCACATAGAGAGGAGTAATTAAATGAAACACTTCCGGAAAATTAAACAGAGCCAACCTTACAATAGACCTCTTTAGACCAGGAATCTGCAGCATATCTCTAGGAACTTGAGGAGCCCTGGCATCCATAAGTTCTTCATCACTTGGAACAGAAGGGGCAGTCATCACATTTTCATCTTGTTTTGGGACCTGATGTGCCCTTCTAACAGCTAATCTAGACTTGTCCCGGGAACTCCATCCATTTGCCATTACGCTCAGATTTCTCCATTTATCCTATACCATAGAAAAATAATATGAAATAAGCAACACGAATAGCAATGCAGATGATCCCATATAGTAATGCAAAATTCACACATTCTTGACACACTGAACTCCAACAAAAAGAGAAAACAAAAGAAAGCAAACATAGAGATATCCCAGTAGAGCCAAACCTTAAGATCTACATTAGACCGCAGATACAAGACACTACTAAACTCTGGATCCTTAAGTATCGTCCGCCATTTTCCAACCCCATGCTTAACAACTCCAGCTTTTAGTGCTGCTTCTTCTTCTTGTGTCCACTTCTGCTTAGGAGCACCCATAACAATGCCTTATCTCAGCTGCAAGGACACATAATACAAGAATAGAATTAACTTCCATATAACTAAATAAAAAGTTTTCACAAGATTGATGAGAAACTTAGAACCCATTTGTTTAATATTACCAAAAAAAAAAAAAAAGGTATTAAGCTGCATGAATGAATTGTTGGGAGAATTTTAAGGAAAACATGGGGGATTGTGATGTATTCTTGTAATTAATTTTAAATACAAGGGTAGGTAACAGCCACTAGCCGTTAGATAGGATGCTAATTTAAATGCCATTAGTTTCTGTTAGCCAGGCCTATAAATAGACAAGAAAGGGTACCCCAAATGTACAGATTAGATTGCCCACGTAATAACAGTGCACTATTCAGATAATTCTCTCTCGTGTCCTCTCTTGTTCATCTCTTTCTCTCTAAGTCCCTCATGTCTTCTCTCCTTTCTGGTTTTCTTCTCTCTGATTCCTACCTCTAATTCTCTCTAAAACACTTCTATATTTCTCTTTTCCTTATTCTATCCCATCAGATTGTCGGAAGAAAATTTGTTTTCAGCTTATTTTGGTAAGTGATTTTGGTAAGTTAATCAAAACCATTTATCAAAATGAGCTGAAAATAGATTTTCTTCCAACAAACCCCCTTGTATTTAGCTCAATAGCTCACTCATCCAGCTTAATCAAAATCATTTTTCCTTAATCTCAAACAAACGGACCCTTGAACCTATAGCTGGTATTTCCAACTTCATATCGATTTCTTCAGTATTTCGAATTTCTTCATCAAGGATATTGCTAGTTGGCATTATTAAGCACCTAATAGAGGGTCTCCACACAATTTCCCAGACATGCAGAAAGCCAGAATACTCCAACAACTAAAATTGCAATTATATAAATTCCCTTGCATCAAACACAGTAAGGTTTCTTCAAACTCTCAGATTCAATCTTCTCCGAAAGCAAAAGAATACAATGAGCAGTCGAAGGGGCACAACAGGATCCAAACAAATTAAATTGTACAGATTTACATATATAGATCAACAAAAAGCATGGGACGATGTGCACAATAAAACGTAAAAATCTCCAAATCATGAACACAAAGTTCCTTCAACAAACAAATATAAATTCCGTTCATTCCACAAAACCCTAAATCAAATAAATAATAAAATGGTAAACAAAAAAAAGGAAAAATTATGGCTATATAGATAATATGGATGATATGGCTCACCTCTATGAAGCAAAAACCCTATGCTAAATGATGCCAATTGATTTCGCAGGAAAACAATGGTGGATGGGAATTCTTCGTTACAGGTTAGGTTTCAGACGCGACCGTGCCTCGCTCACACCCATCGTGGTCCAGGATCGAAGGAATATATTTGCCGGAATGTATATATCAATTTGTTTTTTTTTTTTTTTAACCAGAAGTCTATATCAATTTGTTTAAACCTCAAAAAATCACAAATCGAAAATCATCAATATTCCATTATTCCTACTAAATGAGCTTATATTATTTTTATAGTTAAAAATGACATTTTTAAATAATTAAATTTTGTTTATTGAACCATTTTTTCACAACCCTATCCCTGTCTTAACCCATCCCCTTTTTCCCAAGGAAAAAAAATCAGATCGGACCAGCCAATTCAACTAGAAAATTAGTGAACCAGTTCAAAGTCCGGTCTGGTTCATAAATAAAACCGGCCACCTATAGAATTGATAAAAAACCGGTCAGACTAATATTAAACCGGTCAATCGCCCGGTTTGGGGGTTGACCAGTTTAATATTTTGCCCCAACTAATGACCAAAACGACTCGTCTTATAGTTTTAAAAAAAAAATTTGGAACGTTTTCATTCGATCATTTTCCCCTCAGTCCCTCCCTCCTCCTGGCCAGATTGCAAATTCCCTCCCCCATTCCCATCTTCGAGTGTTCGAGTTTGACCGTTCTCCACTTCTCCCTGCCCCAGATCCCTTGCGGCGCCATTAAGTTGCCGTGATTGATTGATTTCTGCAACGCAATGGTCGACTTTTGGTAGAGACGGAGCCACGGTGGTTGACCAAGATTTCCATTCCCTCCTTCGTTTCAACTCTCGACCGTGCTCCCTGCCCCAGATCCCTTGCTGCTCGCCTTGCCTAAAACTAAAAGGCATCTAGCATCCTTTAATCTCCAGCTAAGTAGAGATTTCTGCTTGAGAATAAATATCACTAGCTCGCCTTACCCCAGATCCCTTGCTGCTCGCCTTGGCTGAAAATAAATGTCTCTGCTTTGAGCCATTGATTTTTGCCTTTCTCCATTGGCCGAGAGGTTTGGGAAATGGGAAGTGAGGGGAGAGTTCTACCTTTCTACTTTGCTTTCTACCTTTTACTGGATTCACGGATTGCCTCTGCCTTTCGAGTTTCTCCATTGGCTGAGAGGTTTGTTCTGCCTTTCACCGGATTTTTTTCTTTAAAAACTAAAACAAATAAACAATATTAGAAGTGTTAGAATGATGAATATGATCGATTGTTTTGTGCTCTCTCCACTGAAACTCTATTGCTATCTAGTTGATATTGGAAATTAGAATGATGATTGATTGATTTCTGCTCTCTATTACTATTTAGCTAATAATTAGAAGTGTTAGAAATTAGAATGATGATTGATTGAGAATGGCACACCATCAAATTCCAGCGTGTGTGATATTATGATGTCCAAATTTGTGTTCTGAAATGGTTATGAAAGGCTGAAACTTGCGGTGTGTTTATGATCATTTTTATTAATTTTTGATTTGTTATTTAGTAGCAATGATGGATATTCCAAACAATTAAAGTTTTGGAAATTATATTATTTTAATATGACCGGTCCGACCTCTGGTCTGACCAGTGACCCTTGACCCATTGACCTACTGCTTTGACCAATTTAGTCTCCGATCTGGTTTTTTGCTCCTTGCTTTTTCCATTACATTATACGTAGTCAGTACTAAGTATGGGAGGTTGAGAGATTTGTTTCAATATTGAAACATCAATCCACACTATCTTTGAAATTTAAATTTTATTTTCAAATTATATATATTGATTACACGTGTATTCTTCCGGTCTTAAATATAAGACCTATTTTGCAGTGCAATTTGCACTATAAAATAGGTCTTATATTTAGAACTAGAGGAGTATAAAGAGTTTTTATTAATAGAAGTAATTTCTAATATAAATGATTAACTAAGATATTTGAGAAAATTAATAGATAAATTTTTGTAAATAATTAAATTAACTAATTTTACTGAATTTCATATTGTCTCAATTTAATTTAAATGTCCTATAATAATAAGGTGGTGTTAATATTAACATATTATTATGAATAGAAATTATAATTACCACAGCATGATTATATTCATAGTATAAATAAATAAATACGCCTAAGTATATTCATATAATTCGGCATTGTGTAATTAGAATTTAAAGGTACTCCACAATATGATCTTATACCGCTGGCCAAAAAAAATATATATATATATACACACACACACACAATCATATACACTTCATATTTGGATCGGAAAATTTCTAGAATTATTTATTACTCAACTTACATAAAAGAATTATTCCAAATCAGAACATATGAAGTACACCAAAAAGGGTTCGTGAATATTTTAGACACACCCACATAAAGGAAGAGGGGTGATCAATCAAGGATGGAAGTTCACTTGGAATGAATGAACACATACGTGTAATACACGTATAGCTTGAAATCTTAAGTAAAAAAATATATAATTATTCAAAAATTTTAACGATCATAGAGCAGTCTTAAATGACGATTTCTGATTTTTTTTTTTTTATTAATGTGGAAAACAAGCACCACTAAGTAACAGCATAAAGCATGGTGTTCTTCTTCACTGTACTAGGACTAAGGATCTGCAAGCCTCTCGTTTCGTTCAGAGCTATCTTTGCAAGATCGTCTGCCATTTGGTTTGCACTCAGCTTGCCAATCCCAAATAATCATTTTCTGGATTTTTTGTATCACTCCCCTATCGTCGTGTAGCGCATTGTCACCTCCAGTAATGAGCTTCATAGCCTCCTGTGAGTCACTTCTTAGTATAATGTCCCTTTCTCCAAGGTCCCAACCCCCTTTCAGTCCTATTAAACAGCACCAAAATTCTGCTGTCAAGTGATCACCATGGTCAAGATTGCACATGAAACCTTCCACAAGATTGTGATCCTGGAATTTTAGGATTCCCCTACACGCTATCTGTCTCTGGTAAATTGAAAAAGCATCGTCCACCTCGAGCACCGGTCTGGTTTTTTATGTTTGCTTCATTTTGTTGAGCCACCAAGCGTTGGAGAGAGCTTATATTGACTCCCCTAAGCTTTGTTATCGTAGTGCGCATACAATTCAATATTGCAAGAGCTCTTGCTGAATAACAATTTCTGAATTACTACCTCCGGTTCTTAACATAAGATCCTGTTTGACTTTTATTTTAGTCATAAATATAAGACCCCAATCTATTTTGTCTCTCATATTTATACATTTTTTTTCAAAGTAATCCTTCTAACAATGATAGTTCTAGTCAATACACTTGATTAGTAAGGATATTTTAAGAAAGACAACACATATTTAGGACAAATAACTAACTCAACTTACTTCTTTAATCTCCTCAAATTAGTCAACTGACTCTTATAATTAGGACAAGAGGTAGTAGTAAATAATAACTACCTACTTGTTATTAGGACTTACTATTAATTTTTTTAAAAAATCTCATTGTAATTCTCCTAATACACGATATGCTATTTTGTGTACCGGGCGTGAAAAGATTGTTGTGCATGTAAAGGAGAATAGGAGCGAGACAAAAAGGGCAAAACATACAAGAAAACAAAGTGGTGAAGGATGAAAAGTTTGTTGTGCGTGAGTGCGCGCGCGGCGAACGAGAGAGTTGCAGTAGAGAATGAGAAAGAAAGAGGATTTATATCAATATTTTTCATCATTAAAAAAAGACATTTTTTAAAATAATTAATTACTTTATTGAACCATTTTTTTAATACCCTGTCTTAATCCATCCCCATTTTCCATTACATTCTACCCCGTTTGTAATAAATATAGGAGGTTGAGAGATTTATTTTAATACTAAATATGAAATATATATCAATTCACACTATCTCTAAAATTTATTTATTTTTCAAATTATACATATTGATTACATATATAAAAAGAGTTTTTATTAACAGAAGCAATTTTCAATACAAATAATTGAATAGATATTTAGAAAATTATAAATATTTTTATAAATAATTAACTTAGTTAATTTTTTAATATATGAAAATTAGCTATGGAACACATACATTTAGTATAAAGGGCGGAGTACTTCATTTCATATTGTTTCAATATAATTGAAATACCCTGTAATAATAATAAGGCCATTGTAATATTTAATATATTATTATGAACAAAACATTAAAAATTATAATTATCACAAGATGATTCAGAGCATAAATACACCAAAGCAAAGCATGTTATACAATTCGATATTTTGTAATTGAAATCTTAAAATAATCAATTACACAACCATACACAGTTCACATATATTTAGGAAAACTTTTAGAGTTATTTATTACTCCTCAACTTATATAAGAAAAAATAATCTAAAACTCTCAATGAAAATATACAAAGTCACAAATGCAAATATCTATAAATAAATTATTTAAAGCTATTCCAAAGTTACACTAACCTACTGTAAAGCTTTAATTGAAATGCAGGAGGTAACATCCTTTTATTTAGGGATATAGTAGAGGGGACAGTAGGATGATTTTTCATAGCGATTGGCAAGTTATAATTAATCACATTTCTAGAAAAAACTTAAGCATTGTTGATTTCTTAGCTAAGTCTTCGTATAATATGAAGGGAAATTTTTATACTCTTAATCAACCTTCACCTCTTGTTGAGTAAGAGGGGTTTGACGATGGAAATTAGTTCTACCTTTGTCTTTTATTTTGACTTAAATAGAATATACTACCTCCGGTTCTAATTATAAGACCCAGTTAACTTATTTGAGGAGATTAAGAAAGTAAGTTAAGTTAGCTATTTGTAATAAATAAGTGTTGTCATTCCTAAAATATCTTTGCTAATTAAGTGTATTGGCTAGAACTATCATTATTAGAAGGATTATCTTGAAAAAAATGCATAAATATGAGAGAGAAAATAGATTGGGGTCTTATAATTAGGACAAAACAAAAAGTCAAACAGGGTCTTATATTAAGGACCGAAAGTAGTAGTTTATATTATGAAAAAAAATGCAGGAAATAAAATAATATTATGATTATATATAGGGCTATGATGTGACGGAAGCCTTATCCCTAATGAGCCGTGCTAGTCTAGTTTGAACAATTCAGATTTAATATTTG